ATATATAAACTGAATACATGAAACAATACAGAAAAAGTCGTGCTCCTTCTTAGTTGAAATTTTCCAAAGTGTACATTCTCTCTATATGGCTAATGTAAGGGTTAGTCACAATGCTTTTTCCTTAAAAGGTTTACATTCTAAGCAGCAAATTATAAACCCTATTATCTAGAGAATACTCTCTCTTCCGGATCTAGGAATCAGTGCTTGTTTCAATACTGTTCATTTTTTTTAACAGGTTGATGGCTTAGAGATCAGCCTCCTGAAGTTTCTTCCAATCAAAAGTTGTATTTGGAGCCAAATCAAAATAATCTCGCTCTTGCTCTTTGCAAAGTTCTAGGAAAACCTACATAAAGCAGACAACGTTTAATAGATTAGTCGATGGTGGATGAATGACCTAATATTTATCTTTCCTTGGACGTCATCCCTCCAGAAATCAGACTGGCCCCCACTTGGACACTCTTTCGGAAGGCCCTGTAGATGTGGTTCTGCCAGCAATCCTGGGGAAGCGAGAGTGATATGGAGCCCATTAAATGGCTAGTATGAATGTGTATTGCCACTGAGGTGGGGGGACTATTATTTTATTATTTTTATTTTTTATTATTTTTATTTCTTTATACTGTGTTTTTATCACCTATATGCTGTCTTGAATCGCCATGTGTAGGAGGCAATATATTTTTTAATAAGTAAGTAAGTAAATAAATAAATAAATAACCGGGGGGGTGCCATCCAGCACTATATCATTAATCATTTCATCTTATCTATCCATATGGTTTTCTTGATAAAATACATGAGTGATTTCCCATTGCCTTCTCCCAAGCAGTAGGAAGCAGATCTGCCTCCACACATCTTCCCAGTTCATGATGGCCAGATACAGGTTTGGAATGACTTTCATGCCTTGAGCAACTCTATGGAGACTACAGGGTCACTCCAGTAGAACATACATTCTTCCTGTCCATTGCAAGTGCTCTTCTCTTAGACCCCTCTCAGGAACACTCTTCTGCCATGATAAGGCTGCAAGATTGGGAGGGGGGGGGATTGCCACAAATTCTATCAGATAAGTGTATTATTTAAAGATATTACCTGTTCCAAAGTGTTCAAAGAAAAGCTGTATTCCTCGAGATTGAACAGTTGTTTCGCTATGTAGAGTGGGGGAAGTAGGCTTGGTTGATTTAGGCTTGCATGGAATATTTTTGTTTGTCTTCTGTGCATAGCATATTCATTCCCTACTCAACACCCACATAGCCATTTCCTTTAGACAAGTTAATATATTTATTTCTGAGAATTGATTGGATGTAATGGAATATTCTGGGAACAAGAAGGGACATTGCAGAAGAAAAGCAAGGACATTCCATTCTATTCCCTAAACAGTTAGGTAGTTCCTATTCAATCAAGAGAGAGAGAGAGATATCTGAAAAGAAGTTCAACAGCCTCAAAGAGCCCCACCACATGCTCACTGTGGAAGTAAGCTTTACAAGTTTCCATGATTCTGTAATCTTATGTCTTTTTCCTCACATTAAACATAATACTTTATGGGAGTCTAACTTTCTTAGTTACTATTAGGGGCTAGACAATAATTTATCTTGTCCATTGTACATTTGGCATAAAATAGAGAAAGTCAGTCTCAGCCAAAAGCAAAGCATTCAAAGCATACCCAAAGATCTAACCATCTAATAATTGAAATATTGATCTTTATTACTTTTAGTGACTAAATTAGCAGGAATTAGCTTCAGTTCAAATACCACTACATGTATAAAGGCAACACAAAGTGCTCTTCTGATACCTGGATCATTCCTGTAATAAAATTATCCATAACAGATTACCTCAGGATGGTCATTAAAAAACTGTGAGAAAATTGTCTCATTTTGATGCATCACCATTCTGGAAAGGTCACTACTAGTGACAATCAGACTAAAGATTAGGGCTGTGCGTACTTTGAAATTAATTTGGAACATCTGCTTTAGACCTCACACAACTATGAACACCCAACTTTGTGCTATTCATTAAAGCAGCCTGGCTTCTTAAGTCTGAAAAAAATGCTGTGTCTGATTAAGCATCACATTCATGAGTCGACTCTTTAAAGTAGCAGCATCCTTTTTTCAGACTTGTGCAGCACCCTGAAAATAATGGATTTTTAAAAAAAATATCTGGTAGGTGAGAAAATTATTTTCCTTCATGCAAGGAAAGGACCACATAATGCCATCTAATTTGAAGTTTATGTTTTCACATTTCATAATACTTTGAGACTTACCTTTTTCTAGCATGGAAAAAGCTTTAGAGAGAGGCAGTGCATTTTCCATTGGAATCTTGTAGACCAACAAAGTGGATATCCTAAAAATAGGTGAAACCATAAATATCCTAAGGGGAGGAGAAATAATAATGTCACCTCCGGGGCTGCTTGTTCCAACTTGAGTCAGCCCATTCAAACTGATCTTCCTTGGCAAAACTATTGGTGGTTCCCCACTTTCTGGAAATGAGAGGGGTTGAGTCTATTAAAAAGTGTGTCTTTGTGTGGGCCTCAATATTATGGAATAGCCTGCTCCTGGAAACCACTTTAGCTTTATCAGTGATAATGGGGAAATATCACACTGGAGGAGGTTGATTAAGAAAGACCCAATCCCACCTTCCCCCCATCCAGCTGCATTCTTCTCCATCTTGTAACTACTTTGATTGTACTTTCATTTTATCCCTGATGTTTTTAATGTTTTGATGCTGTAAGATGCCAAGAGTGGCTTTAAAATAAGATGGTGGCAAATAAATTTAATAATCAATAAAAATTAAAACTTCTAGAAGGCAATTAAAACCAAGATACTATACAATAATAAACAATAATCTGCATCACTGATAATTCTGACCTACTGACTATTGGGCAGAGCGACCCAATTTGTATATATAGAAACTTTAAAAATAAAGGTGCAGTTTGTTCAGGGAGGAGTAACAAAGATTTTATTTATTTGTACCCTACCTTTTTAATTTTAACAAATAACTCAAGGTGTTGAACATAACCAACACACTTTCCTCCTCCTATTTTCCCCACCAAAACAGTGAGGTAGGTTGGGCTGAAAATGAGC